TTTGCCTACTTAATTCTTGGACACCTATTTTTTTCTCTATTTTTCTTTCACCCTCTAATACAATGCAAATCCAAATAGATGCAAAATTTGCACCAAATTTAGATTCACATGTATATGTTTGTAAGTATAATTTTTACCTCTAGGTCCTCTACTTATGTTAGCTAATATTAGTGAACAAAATATAAAACCATGAGAAATGAATTTATCTGAATGACAAAGAATGAAGTGGGGTGTCCTTTTTTTTTTTTTTTACTTTCCCTTGGTTTATCATCACCTCCTCAATTTCTATCTTTATTGTCTGGGGACAACATTATTGTACTTCCCAATTTGCTCTTCCCAAACAGACAACCTTTACTTTCATTTGGGGATTACATCATTTATTTCAAAATTTATTCATCCCAATTAATAAATAAAACAAAGTAAAAGCCTACAGCAAAGTAAACCAAAATTTGCTACAAGCCCATTTACAATTCGATGCATTTATACTAGTGACAAATAAAGCTTTAGGTATGGTGCAAATTTCATTTGCATTGGTGTAAATGCGTGGAACTGCAAATAGGCAAAGTGTATATTCTGGTTTATTATTGCTTCAGATTTATTGGATTTGTTTCATTTATTTGATGCAGTGCCACCTTATATGAAAGAGAATGAAGATAGAATGATATGCTCGTATTGGGAGGAGTACGACATCGGAATTATCGAAAATAAAAAGACATCATCAATGACATCACACTATGCTAGCTCGTAATGTAATGCTCTGAAGGTATATCTCCCATAGTTAATGGAGAGTAGAAGAGTTGGCTCTTGGAATTTATTTATTGACAAGGTTAATTAGTACCAAATGGACTAAGGGAGTGGAAGCTCTCATTGCTTAAACCATGCAAGAGAAAGGAGTCCTTATCAAATCCACACTTTCTAACCTCGCCACTTTATTTCATGTCCACTTATTCTATTATTCCAAGTACATATCCTTAATCACTAGTATCGAGAGGGATTTTTAGTGAGGGTTCAACTCTCAACTCTAATAAGTGGTATGTTTATCTCAGAAGAAATTTTATGCTAAGTTAAGAATGTGGGTAGATTGGGCTTCAAAAGAACTTTGAAATTATTAAGGGCCCATTTGGTTGATGGGAACTACTTAGTTGGATGGAATTGGAATCGGAATCGGAATCTCATTCCCATTCTCGGTGGAATGGCATTCTCCCATTTATCCCTCCCTTGGAATGAAATCCCCCATTCCACCTGTTGATTCCAATCCCCATTTTGATTCTTATCTAAACCAAATAATGGGAATAGACCTCTCATATATATGCCTTGGAATGAAATCCCCATTTTGATTCCTATCTGAACCAAACAATGGGAATAAACCACTCATATATATATATATATTTGCCCCTCCCTTGAAATGAAATCCAATTCCGACTATGAACAAAAGGACCCTAAATATATATGCCCGTTAATGAAGCTATCATTGAGATTCATAAATGATATTAGACATGGTTTGATGTGTTAAATGCTAAGTACCTTGGAGGCCAATCATTTTGGAGTACAAATGGAAGATAACATATATAGATGTGCAAATTATAACTACAAACAAATGGACGCAAAACTGAACCACATGTAAAATTTATATTTGATTCAGATTTGCAGTACAAATAAACAAAGCCTTGGGAGCAAACCTTCCCCTTCCCCATACATATTTGTATTTGTGCTCCTTCCAAATTGAGCCTAATGGACCAAATATTGGTCTAACCTGATCCGGTCCAATATGAGCCCATTACAAATGGACTAGGTCTAGTCTATCCGATAAATATTTTGGACTGGACTTGTCCAACTTAATGTCTTATTGGACTATCAAAACTGTTCAAATTGGTTTTAATTCAGATTGCTTCCAACTCAAACATGGTCCATTAACAGCCCTGCTCTTATCGACAATGGACTGGATATTTGTTCAATTCGACCTAGTCCAATATAAATTCATTATAATGGACTAGGTCCAATCCAATCCAGTAAGTATTAGACAATTAAGTCTGGATTGGCCCAATTCAATGTCTTATTGGGCCTTCCAATCCATTCAAATTGGTTTTGATTTGAACATTCTAGGTTAAAGGGTAAAATTGGAAAAGAGAAAAATAAGAAAAATCTAGACTGAGAAAAACCGGACTGGACCGGAAAAATCGGACTCCATGCCCATTTTGAGCACTGTTTTCAAAACCGGACCAGACCAGAAAAATCGAGAACCGGTCACTGGACCGGAAAAACCGGGAACCGGTCACCTGACCAGTTTCGTTTTCCTCCAAAACCGCTTTTTCCCTCAAAACCGTTGATTTTGGTCAGCAAACTGCTGAACCGGTCGGTTAACCATACAAACCGTTCAAACGGTTTTGACCGTTTTCCAATTTTTAAATTTTTTTGTTAGAACGGGCCGGCCGTTTGGATCGAACAGTCAGACCGTTCGAACCAGTAACCAGACCCTGACCGGTTCGCTTTTAAAAACCATGATTTTGAGAACCCCCTTTTAAACCCATTAATTACTTCCATGCTGATAATTCTCTCTTTTCTTCTCTCTCCTCCTCCCCCCTTTGCAACCAACAGCCATTTCCTTTCTCTATTGTTAGAATTCTTTCTCCAGCAAACTAGATTAGCCTGATCCCTCGTTGGAAGGTATTTTAGGCAACCCCTTTGGGGGTCCGACCAACTCTCTTTTCCTCTCTTTTTCTCCCCTGTCTCTTTGTTGTCATCACCAGCCAACTCCTTAGATGTAATGTCCCAAGTTAGGGGTATTTTAGGCAACCCCTTTGGGGGTCCTTATATTATCTTAAATGTAATGTCCCAAGTTTGTTATTTTTCTCATTTCTTATATTAATGGATATTATTAATATTATTAATCATAAAATCAATTAAGTTGTTTCCTTTCTTCTAAATTGATGTTTTATATGAAATGTAAAATATTTATAATTGTTAGTTGATTAATTATTATTTTATTTAATGCCTAAATACCGAAACTTATTGCTTATAAATTTATAGTTTATGGATACATGTACTTTCTATCATTTTAATTTGATATATTATATATTATTTTCATCAATTTACAAAATTTAATTAATTTTTCCTAAAACTTTGAGGCTTATGCCTTACAATGCCTTGAGACTTACACCTCACCTTTTTGGGTCATTATGCCTCAACTATGCCTTCAGTCTTTCAAAACCTTGACTGCAAGATCTTGAATCTCATTTTACCCCTTTTTGGATCAAGGTTAAATTCCAAGATACAATGATTTGTTTGTTTAGGCAAGATGCACTTCTGCTGCTCGAACCTCCAATACAAGAGAGATAGAGAGAAGTTGCATGGACTAAAGCTAATTGGTTGGTGGCCCAATTGGTAGAATCATGGCTTCTTTGTTGCCTCTTGGGGTTGGGGAGACCTCGCTCAAATCCTGTTACCAGCAAGATTGTCTGGGGGTGGTTAGGGATGTGAGATGGGCTACCCCCATTGTGTAGCCCCTCAAAAAACGGATATGAAGCCAAGCAAATATTGACAACATATGGTAAGGATTATTACTTGAACCGAGCCAAACATTTGAACCAATGATCCAATCACCTTTTCACAATGAATTTCCAGCCAGTTAAGTAATCGATAAAACCATTACCTAGTGAGAATTCCAGTTTTATATTCGGTATGAGGAGTTCGAATATGATGCTGGAAAGACATCGTACCAGAAAATCTTATAGCCAATCAACTTGCTTCATAAAATTTGTAACTAATTAGGTGTGTTTTTATCAAAATTCATGGGAGTTTGACTTATCAAAGCCCTTTGAGTATTATGTCTTTTTGTGCATCATAGTTTCTGAGTAAATTAAAAGGATCCCTCCTGTACTATGGGTTTATGGGTTTAGTGACAAATATCCCCTTGAACTTTTATTGTAACAAATACTTATCCAATTCTTATCGTTCTATTAGTTAACTTGAAAAAAGATTCTTATCCAATTCTTTAAAAATTTGGAATCCAAAACCACCCTTTTCTTATTTATTTGAATGGTTTATGATTCAATTAGTTTTTTAAATATAATATTAAAGTCCTCTCTATCCTATAATAAATCCTTGCAAGTTTCTAATTGGGTTCAATATTCAAAAGAAAGTGTAGATGTTTCTTTCTAATTGATATAAATTCATGGTTCTCTTTGTTTTTTCTTGATTTATTAAAGAAAGGAGTGAATAATTTTTATATTTTAAGATGAAGAGAGACATTCATATTAATTATGAAATGAATCAAAACTTAAAAAAAAAATCTTTTTCTTCTATTCCAATAAAATGGTTCTTGTTGTTATTTTAATTAGTTTCTTTTGGAGAGAATGGAAATATTTTTGATTAATTAGGATTTAAGATAAAAGGCTGAAGAAAGTTCAAATGCACATTTTGTTAATTTAATGCATTCCATCGTATTATTTAACGATCAAGGGATATTTATCACCAAAGTTTTTTCCCGGTCCGAATCTAACAGCTCCGATATTTCATGGATTCATGGTCCCGAACATCATCACCCACTTTTTTTGTTTGGATAGATAACATCATCACCCACTCAGTTAGTTCATATTATCGTTGCTGCGCATGTTCATTAATAGTAACAGACACCCCACTCATCCTGTGTTGGGTTTCTCTCTTATGTGGAGGATGGCCTAAGAAGTCCATGTGGTATTGGTATTTTTGTTCAAATGAAAATAGTCCAAGGAAATAAACTTTTAGTGGTGTTGGTATTTTTTGATAATTTATTGATTGTATGTCTCTGATTTTATCTAGAGAGAACCTTTATATAATCATTTTTTTGATAGTGAAAATTTTTGAGTGACCGTGATTTTTTTAGGTTTTTCATGTAAAATTGATTGTATTCTTATATGCTTATTTTTTGGTTTACCTAACATATTCACACAAATAGGGTGAAAAATATTATTTCGCTGTTTTTGAAATTTGTTATAATTTGCTTAATTTAGTTAATTTAGTGATTCTCCCGACATCGTGCAAGAGAAAAAAAAACCATAATGCTTGTTCTCTCTCTTTCACCATCCATGGTCGAATTGGGGTTCCGTTCCGTTCCTCTGAAACAGCAGCTTCACCCACTTCGTGCATCGGAAACCTTTGAGCTCTACCGTTTCATCGATGGCAATCGCAAACTGGGTTTTGTTCCTCCTTCACAGTATAGAAGTACGTCTCTTTATCTTTGGAAACCTTTTGAACTTAGCACTAGCAAAAGTAGAAATTGGAAGACAGGGCTTGCTAAGGGGCGCAGGAGAGGTCGGAACTTGGGTTTGAAGGTGAAATCAGTGTTGAGTGTGGAGAAACCGGTGGAGAGAGGTGGGAGTGGATCTGGAGCTGGAGAGAACTATGATGCGATTGTTATAGGATCCGGAATTGGAGGGCTGGTTGCGGCGACGCAACTGGCGGTTAAGGGAGCTAGGGTTTTGGTACTGGAGAAATATGTGATTCCGGGTGGGAGCTCAGGGTACTATCAGAGGGACGGGTATACGTTTGATGTTGGATCGTCGGTGATGTTCGGATTTAGCGATAAGGTTCGCTTTAACTCTCCTTTCTATCTTGTTGGGAAGATTCTGATGGATTTTGGTTGAATTTCTGTTTATGTAAATTATGATGTTTGGAACAGAAAGCAAGAGGACTGGACTGATCAAAACCTGAATTAATAATAAAGCATAGTAATTTAAAACCTTGAAACTAAGATGTGACCTTTGGAAAAATCAATAGATACGCTACATGATGCTTATGCATGCAATGAAATGAACTACCTACTTAGTACCCATACAGTGCAAACATGATCGATGGATATCAACTTTAATTCATCCCTTTCCATGTTGGACAGGTTCCAATCTGCTTATCAGTTGCCCAGCTAATAAACAGTACAAATGAATGAAATAATTCACTAATGTGAGTGTAGGTTAACATAAAGATGGCATTTGAAGACAACCGAGTCTAACTGATAAGTCAAACCTTTGGGCAATGCAAATTGCCTGAGTTTGGTGGACTGTTCCAACATTTCAGCCCTAGTTACTAAAATCTTTAGACATTCTTAACTTTACAGGAACTTAGCTCAACTCAAATCAGCCTTAATCAAAATATTTGTGCCCAGATGCAAGAATTTTGTCCTACCATTTTGTTCTGTCACTGACTTTTTGAAACTAAATTATTCCCTAAATGGAAGTGTATTATGGGATAGTGAGTTCTGAGCCTAAAATTGTTAACTTGCTTCACATATCCAATTGATAAAAAAAAACAAAAAAAACCATTACATATCTAAACATTAACATGCTATTCTTGGCCTTATTATGATGAGCAGGGTAATCTAAATTTGATAACCCAGGCATTGGAAGCAGTTGGGTGTGAGATGCAGGTAATACCTGATCCGTCTACTGTGCATTTTCATCTGCCTTGTAATCTTTCTGTACGAGTGCACAGAGAGTACAATGATTTTATTGAAGAACTCACCAGTAAATTTCCGCATGAGAGGGAGGGGATTCACAAATTTTACAATGAATGTTGGAAGGTCAGTCTTTGCTGATTGCTGACTGTAAATCCCTATGTGCCTTTCAGCTTCTTAGTTGTTGCCATGTTATACACACTAATTACCTATGTACATAGGTTTTCAATGCCTTGAACTCATTGGAGCTAAAGTCACTGGAGGAGCCACTCTACCTTTTTGCCCAGTTCTTTCAGAAGCCTCTGGAATGCTTAACTCTGGGTAATTGTTTTCTTAATTAATAGATATTATTGTTTAGGTTTGAAGTTGTGTCCAAGGTTATGAAGATAATGGCAGAGATGGCACATGGGAAGTGGATTTCACATTTGTGGCAATCACCTGAGAGATCCCTTTAGGCGATACTTTGCCCAATTAGACATTTCTATTTCTAGTAAAATGTTTTTTTGGATGGTTGGTATAATGTGGTGATTGGTTGGGGAAAAAGTATAAAACAAATATGTGTCCCTTGGTCAATTCTTGTTATTGAAATCTCCAAGGTAGGAATCATCAATTGAATGGAGGTTCCATCCCCCTGAGCATATGCCACACATAATAATGTTTATTGTAAACCATCCTTATTGGTGTCTTAATGTTTTTTCTGTTAACAACTGATGCTTGTTATTGTTGATCATGGACATGCCATTTTATTTATCTTCCTTTTTCTTCTAGTAATCTTTCTTTTGAATCCCAAGATTGTTCATAATTCTTGGTCTTGCTTTATATGATTGTGGATTTTATGGCAGCCTATTATTTGCCTCAAAATGCTGGAGACATAGCTCGGAAGTACATAAAGGATCCTCAATTGTTATCTTTCATAGATGCCGAGGTGAAGTTACATTATTTTTTTTGGACATGCTGACTCTCTTCCTTGATTACTGAGATTTAATAAGCAATTTGGTCTCAAAATGGAAAATGATCTTTTCTTGTTTAAACAGTGTTTCATAGTGAGCACAGTTAAGGCTTTGCAGACACCAATGATTAATGCAAGCATGGTAAACTGCCTTAATAGACTTTTAAGTTTTGTGCATTTGGTTTGCTTGCCCTGTTTGCTTACATATTGTTTGCATCAGGTTTTATGTGACAGACATTTTGGGGGAATAAACTACCCTGTTGGTGGTGTTGGTGGAATTGCAAAATCCTTAGCAAAAGGGCTAGTTGATAAAGACAGTAATATTCTTTATAAGGCAAATGTGACTAAGATTATAGTTGAGAATGGAAAAGCTGTAAGTAACCTTATTCTGTGTGATTACACTTGTAACTTTTATGTTTATTAACCATAAATTTGCAAATGTGTATTATATACCATTCTAGTACATATTTTGCAGGTAGGAGTGAAGCTGTCAGATGGAAGGGAGTTCTTTTCTAAAACCATAGTTTCAAATGCAACTAGATGGGATACCTTTGGTTAGTTCTAATGGTGACAATGAACATTCTATCATTAAATATGAATTATTCTGTCTACCAGTTTCTGCAGTTTTTGTACCTTTTGGTGTCATTCTTTTCAAATCATGTGGTTGTAGCATAATTAAAACTGGACTGAGTTTTATCATTTTATAGGAAAGCTTTTAAAAGGGGAAAAACTTCCAAAAGAGGAGGAAGATTTTCAAAGAGTTTATGTTAAGGCCCCGTCTTTCCTTTCCATACACATGGGTGTTAAAGCAGAGGTTTTGCCACCAGACACAGATTGTCATCATTTTGTTCTTGAGGTAGAAGCATGTCTTCAATAGCTCGTATCTACATTGTTGCTGAGGTCTTTAGTCAAGAGAGAGTAAATCAAAGTATTCACATTCTTTTTCTTAATGGTTGGTGCAGAGTGACTGGACCAAGTTAGAGGAGCCATATGGCAGCATTTTTTTGAGCATTCCAACTGTTCTTGATTCATCATTAGCTCCAGAGGGACGCCATATTCTTCATATTTTCACAACATCTTGTATAGAGGATTGGAAGGTGAAATTATGCTACCAACAAAATTATTTTGTGAAAACAACCCTTGTCAACCATAATATATCTTCTTTATGCTGTCCAATTTTTGGTTGGCTTAATACTATGTGGCTTTTATTGTACCAGGGACTGTCTCAAAAAGACTATGAGGAAAAGAAGGAGCGTGTGGCAAATGAAATAATAAGCAGATTGGAAAGGAAACTTTTTCCAGGACTTAAATCATCTATTGAATTTAAAGAGGTAAAAATCATGCAAAAACATGCTTTTGTAGTAAATGGAGGATGAGGTTACCATCAAATGATAATAATTACCTTGTGTTCTTTAGAAATCCTAGGAAATGAACTGAGTGCTCATAATCTTCACAGTGATTTTTGAAGAATCATGAATATGTATTGACATGTTTATTAAATATGGCCAGCTACTCAATATTTAGTGTGTCGAACATGTCCTCTGTTCATTTAATGGTACTGAAATTTCAAAGATCTTCATGCCCTTAATAAGTTGTCTTTAGACTTACATCAGGGGGCTAGTCCATTCCCAAACCAATAACCCCCAACCCTGGTGCCGGTGGAATTGGATCCCGAGTCTCTGCTACAACCAGCCAAAGACCTTACCAACTAGCCAGTTGGAATCTTATCTTTTTTCCCTTAATAACGATTGAGTTTTGAATGCATATTTCATTTTTTGCTGAATACATTCACCCCTGCAATAAAATCAATCTCTAGGCCCTGGCCACCCCTAGATTCTTTTTTAGCATCAACTCCTGGGCGTTTTACTTACCTTTGCTTCACATTTAATACAATGCATTTACTGTTTCTGATTAAGAAAAAGAGAAAAAAGGAATCACACTTGTGAATCTATGATGGATCCAAGATTTTTTCACTTGTTCCCTGCCTACTGATGCAGGAAAACCATATATTTATTGAGGAATTGATGGCTTTAGGTCAAAAGGAAGACAATTAGGGCTGCACTTAGATTTTCTCTTGAGAGGCTCTGACATGTATTTCTAGATGGGGAAGTGTTCCTTTTAGGTACACTCTAGGGGTGTTTTATTAATTAAAGTAGGTAATACTACAAATAAGGCTGCAAATTAGGTGGGTCCATCCCGAGCCTGACCCAACCCACTTGGGCTTTTACATGGGGAGGGCCTGAGATTTGGGGGTTTGGGTTGGGGCTGGGTTGGAAAATTCAGGCCTGTTGCAAACTCCGGTTGGGCTTTCATTGAGGCCTTGGGTAGCCTGAATTGGACCTAAGCCCAGCTTGCCCCAACCCAAGCCTGCCTGAACAAACACATACATATATGCATTTTATTAATATAAAATATTTTTTTGATTATATATATATATACATAATAGACGTATATATGTATAAAATATGTATATGTACATTTGTTAATGAAATTTGTGCATATTTTTAATCCATTCCACTCCTAAGTTGGGCTATAGATCCCAATAAAAGATGGCTGCACAAAAATATATTCATACATTCTTTCAAACCGTAAGGTGCCAACTGGCTAGTTGGTAAGGTCTCTGGCTGGTTGTAGCAGAGAATTAAGATTAAATCCTGCCTGCACCAGGGTTGGGGGGGGGGTTTATGGGTTTGGGGTATGGGAGTATGGGATATCCCTCATTCTGTAGCCCCATGGAGTCCCTCAAAAAAAAAAAAAACAAAAATTCTTTCAAACCTAACCAACAAGCCCAGGGTCATTCTTGTATATGTGGCACATTTAATTATAACAGGACCATGCCTCGGCTATTCTAGATCTGTCTGGCTTGGGCCTACTCTAGTGGGATCCAAGGCCTTATTTTCAGGCTTTGAGATTGTTCGAAGCATTGATTTGTGGTCGAAGGGTCTTTACACAAGTAACACTATGTGGCTATTGCACTCAGTTAATTCCGTGTATTGTACTGCTGCTGAAAATGAAGAAAATGATATGTACCAATAGAACAGAGGGTACTGCAGAAATACTTCTAGTATATACTTCACAACACGAATATTTTAGCAAATCATACCATATAAAATTTCTAGATGTTTAATTTTATGTTGAATTTGGAAAGACAGGCAATAAAAATTGATACGTGGTTTGAAAGAAAAAAGTTCTGCATGTTAAATGGGATACTTGCATCTTTACCAATTTCATGATTGACGAATCTCAAGGAATGGAATTATATATCCTTGTTTGTTTCCACATCCATATCTGGACATCTTAGCTAGGTAGTTACTTTTAGAAGGTCAAGGTTGAAATGCATTTCATAAATCTATCTACTTTGTTTTATGTAGATAATCAAACATCAAGTGAAAATTACATGACAATTATGTATTCTCCAGAAGAAACTTGTCTGCCTCATATTCTATTTAATGCTGGACAAATGTCCTGCCTTTCCTCTTCCAAACTGCTCGGGTAGCTTCTTTGCCACTTGGTTCTGTCTCATACAGCTTCTTCAGATGCCCTATGGATCCATAATAGATCATTAACCTGTTGCATTTCTTGCTGAAGTGAGACAGTGAATTGTCTATTTGTTTGCAAGGCGGGAACTTGATATTGCAAACTTGCAAGTTGCAACAGTAGAAAATTTCATATCGTAGTCTCTCTTTAATGACAGGTAGGGACGCCTAAGACTCACAGGAGGTTCCTTGCTCGTGAAAATGGTACCTATGGACCAATGCCACGTAAAATCCCCAAGGGCTTATTAGGGATGCCATTCAACACAACAGTAAGTAGCACATTTCTATCAATTACTTTTTTTTTTGTGATAATAAGTCTATGTTTCCATGAGTTTAATGTGAGTGCATTGGTCCTGTAATATTGAGAGTTCACAGGCCATAGATGGACTTTATTGTGTTGGGGATAGCTGCTTTCCAGGACAAGGTGTCATAGCTGTAGCCTTTTCAGGAATGATGTGTGCTCATCGAGTAGCTGCTGATATTGGTAAGCGGGTTTCAATAGCCCTACATCAACCTCAAAAATGCTTTACGTTAATTTAAGAACCTAGGTGTTATCTTTTCCAAAATAGGCTTGACTTGATTTGTCAAAACTTTCTTCTTGCTAATGTGTTATGGTCCCGCGTGTAGGATCCCGTCACGGGTCGGTCCACGGTGTGAAACCCTGCTTCCCCTTGCACCTTCCCTTGTGTGCAGACCCTATTGCGGAAGCTGAATGGGTGATTTGTCCAAGAGACCACCCGAACTCTCCTCACTCTTCTCTTGACTGGAAAACTGAATATTCGTAGCTCCTTAAATAGGAGATTACAGAAGGAAATTCCTAATGAAACTCAAACTCCAACTTGAACTCAAACTCCTAATTACCTACTCCTATTGATAATACACTCTTACTTAAGATAAGATAAAGATAAGATAAGGGATAAGGGATAAGATAAGCTGGCGGCGAGTTGGCATGACGTGTTCAGATAAGGGTAGGCCGTGTGGGCCCTACTCTGCTGCTGCTGCTGCCGGGTGCATGCGCGCGGCCCCTGGTGCTGCTACTGCGCAGTCGTGTGCGCGGTGCGTGCTGTCGTGCAATGCGTGTGGTGCGCGCCATGGTGCCGCTGCCGTGCGGTACCGAGCGTGTACACGGTGCGTGCTGCCGTGCGGTGCGCGCTGCTGCCTGGTGGTGTGTGTTGCGCGCTATCGGCGGTGCGGACTGCTGTGCAGCGCTGCCAGGCGGTGCCTGCTACTGTGCGTGCTGCTGCCGATGATTGCGTCGCAGTGCGCTGCCGGATGGTGTGACCATAACATTACACCCCTCCCGGACTACAAGCTTGTCCTCAAGCTCGTGTTCTGGATACATGGCTTGGGATTCTGCGAATGGATCAAACGGCTGTACACAATTTCTCAGTCCACCAACAGCATGAACAACAGGGACTGCCCCGTCTCTCAATGCATAACGCTGGATTATTTGATGCAGACCGTAGCCATCTTCTTTTATTTCCCGCTCCCAAGCGTAGCCATGGTTTACAGTGACTACACGCTCTGCTGCACTCAGGCCAGCCGCCAGGGCATTGAAGTGTTCCCTACCTCCTGGGTCATATAGTTTGAAGTAGTTTTGTGGAAGGTCCATATAACAGAAATTACGTACTGGACCACGACCCCATTGTGCTATGCTATGGATCATAAGAATGCACCAGGTATGGATCAAGAGCGGCCTTACCTAAGAAGACCATGCATTTTAAAATATCCTCTCGGCCTTCCCCATATATATTTTCCTCAATATTACGAAACATAGGGTTGTCCATGAACACAAAATCTATGCCATCAATATAAGCTTGGAAGAAAATTACCTCTATATCCTGCCCCTCCACCTTACATCTCTCGTGCACTCCTGTTTCTTGGATTTCTGTATAGTTACCATACGGTGGTGCCGCCACCATAACTTTATGTCCATGTCGAGCCAAGGCCTTCGGTAAAGCCCCTGCAACACCGCCAAGCCCACCTGCCTTCGTCAAAGGAGTGCATTCTACAGGTTCTACTATAATGCTTGTGACATTGTCCCCGGCCAAAGGAGGAGACTTTACAATTTCATCCTCCGTGCGCTGATCCATGGAAATAACTACGGTTGTAGGGGCAACGATCTGTTGTTCGTTGCATGCCTCTGCCTAGTCCGGATGGCGTCTGTTGGTGTTGGCGATTCCCTCCGAACTCATTTCTTTGTTGGAAAGGAATGCTTCCAGCAGGCGTCGCATCTCCCGGACGTCTTCCCTGACTTCACGAACCTCCATGTTGGTTTCTGCAAGTTGGTGTTCCAATTCGTGGACCTTGGAAGACAGCTGCTCCATATCGCCCATGACGTTTGGCTCTGATACCAATTTGTTATGGTCCCGCACGTAGGATCCCGTCACGGGTCGGTCCACGGTGTGAAGCCCTGTTTCCCCTTGCGCCTTCCCTTGTGTGCAGACCCTATTGCGGAAGCTGAATGGGTGATTTGTCCAAGAGACCACCCGAACTCTTCTCACTCTTCTCTTGACTGGAAAACTGAATGTTTTATTTCAATTCGTAGCTCCTTAAATAGGAGATTACAGAAGGAAATTCCTAATKAAACTCAAACTCCAACTTGAACTCAAACTCCTAATTACCTATTCCTATTGGTAACTCACTCTTACTTAAGATAAGATAAAGATAAGATAAGGATAAGATAAGGGATAAGGGATAAGATAAGCTGGCGGCGAATTGGCATGACGTGTCCAGATAAGGGTGGGCCCACCCCTATGAGCTGCCGTGTGGGCCCCACTCTACTGCTGCTGCCGGGTGTGTGCGTGCGGCCCCTGGTGCTGCTACTGCGCAGTGCGTGCGTGCGGCTCATGGTGCCGCTGCCGTGCGGTGTCGGGCATGTGCGCGGTGCGTGCTGTCGTGCAGTGCGTGCGGTGCGCGCTGCTGCCTGGCGGTGCATGCTGCGCGCCATGGTGCCGCTGTCGTGCGGTGCCGAGCGTGTACATGGTGCGTGCTGCTGCCTGGTGGTGTGTGTTGCGCGCTATCGACGGTGTGGGCTGCTGTGCGGCCTGCTGTGCGGCCTGCTGCCGATGATTGTGCCGCAGTGCGCTGCCGGATGGTGTGACCATAACATAATGTCCTATTGTCCCTGACAACAAAAATATAGATTGGAATGCTTTTTTAACGGTTGATCTAATTAGGTTGAGAGATTACATTTCTATTTGCTATTATCACTTGAAACGATTATAGATGCATGCATTCTAGTGGTCTTCCTCCTATTAACTTGGATTTCTGTTATTCCATTTCCAGGGCTTGAGAACAGATCTGTTGTATTGGATGCTGCACACCTTCGACTTCTTGGTTGGTTAAGGACACTGGCATAGAAATTAGATGTTGGATTCTTACGGTTTCATGGTATATGGAAATTCCAGGCTAATTGCAAGATCATGCGGAGAGAACAACAGCCTACTGGTAGCAGATGTGACAACAAGCATGTAAGCCTATTCAAAGAAGTTGAACTATATAAGAATTAGCCTTTTAGCCTTAATGAAGAGAGGTTGATTGATTAATCAAGCCAAGGGTAGCCTTTTAGCCTCCGACACAGAAAAGGAGTAAATAGATTTTAATTCAAAATGGAAATATCTCCCATTCTAGCTGTGGTCTATTCCTATAGTCTGTTTGGTTCAGACAAGAATGGGAATGGGAATTGGAATCAGCAGGAATGGGATTTCATTCCCAAGGGAGGGGTAGGGAATGATCATTCCCTCAAATGGGGGATGCCATTCCAGCGGGAATGTGAATGGGATTTCAATTTCGCCCAAGCAAACAGTTGGAACCGGAATAGTTCATTCCAATTCCGATTCGACTCCTATTTCCGCGAATCATACAGGGCCTAATAATTTAATATTGACTTTCTAAGTCAAATGAAAAATCTAAAATAAAGGCTTTGAAGATGCCAAATTGATGGGGTCCAATTCTTCTAGATAAAGTAGGTTGTTTAATACCAAAGCTCCTTTTGCCCCTCCAATTTAAGAAACGAACTCTTATTCATGTCTCTTGTAAGATTACATCTTCTAACTGGGAATATAGACCCTTACAATCTCCGTCTCGAAATGTGACCAAGGCTCAATTTGGAAAGAGTATAAACACAAATATGTACAATGCAAATACACTGCATATTTGTATTTGTACTCTTTCCTGGGAAGAGTGCAAAGAGAAATATGTATAGGCATTTGTACTCCTCCGAAGCTGAGCTTAAATGAAAATGTGAGAACTCGACCTTTTATGAATCTCAACAAGGTCAATTACCCCCACCCTATGTATCAAGCCACCAATGCTCGCCCATGAATTGGCATCAATTCTGAGCTGATACTTACCCCAACTGTACTTTTGTAATTCTGACCGTGTGCTGAATTGTCATTCTCTCAAAGACAAATAGATGTTTGATAGGGTGAATCTGCCATTACCAGCAGTTTCCACATATTAACTTTCATGTACTGATAACAAGTCTGAACAATCCTCCGTGTGCAGATCACAGACTGATCATCCAATCTTGATTTAAGCCCATGGTGCCAGTTTAAATTACAGAGGAGAGAGGCAATCGAGAGAGTTTAGGTGTTGTCAAGTACAGTTCAACATCTCTATTTAATTAGGTGTAATACAATCCTTTCCATTACATGGGGTCATGCTCAGCCTGGAGAGACTGTGATTGAACTTTCGCCATACAACTCCACCACATCTCATAAGAACGTTGAACAATTGTTATGAATAGTTACAAATATAAATATTTTAGGCCCCCGCTTGGTTTGCAGGATTAGGGGTCTAAATAATCGGAATGGGTTATTACAATTCCAACTGCTTGGTTGGGAGAAATCTGAATTCCATTCTCATTCCTGTTGGAATGGCATTCCCCCATTTGAGGGAATGGCCATTCTCTATCTCTCCGTTGGGATTTAAATCCTATTCCTACTGATTCCAATTTTCATTCCCATTTCTATCTGAATCAAATAGACTAAGAGAATAAATCATTCTAATTCCGATTCCGAAAAATTTCTATTCCTATTCTGATTCCAACTGTAAATCAAACGAACTCTTAGTATTTTGACCTATTTCAGAGAATATAATAGCCCTAGACCGACCCCTCTAAGAAGGTTTTGAAAAAAAAGGGAGAGCGTGGGATGATACGCCCCTGCACCATCCAGCGTATCGAGGTGTATTGATACTTCGAAGTTTCAACCTTGTTATAAGAGCTGTTAATAGACGCTGAAAGTCTGAAAGCAAATCCAATTATTTTGGATTTGTCTTAGAACCACAGTTCAAAATATTGACATAACATGCTTGAGTTAGACTATCAGAATCCTTGCTCTAGAGCAAGGGGCACATGGCACAAGTGGATTGGACACACTAGCAAAGATTCCACCAATGCCCTAACAATATGAAGTATGTTGGATAGTATAAATCAATACAATATGATACCAACTCTTACTTAGAAGAATCCCTGTTTTTGTGGTTTTTGACAATTTATTACTAGTAAAGTTATTGTGTGATATCTATGTCCAAGATTATATATATATACACTACATACGTATAAGTTAAAAAGTTTTTAATTTTAGTTTTAATTCAGTTCGATTTGCATTTCAAGTTTTAATAATTGAATTGGATTTGGTTGGATCAAATTTGAACCTGACCTGTTTAATCTCTGCAAATTCAATCATCACCTTTATGGTCGATAACCCAAACTCCAAAATCCAAATTGAAAAAAGAAAATACAAATCATACAACTGAAAAATACACCTATGGGGCCAGGAGAGCAAAGTTTTCTACTGATGGTACTTCTTTAGTCATATGAGAACCCACAATTTTGTTTATTATTAAAATAAAGCATTTTCCAATGTGTCATTACATTACATGGTAAGGTGAAATGAGGGTAGTTTTTTTTTGGGTAAAACATAAAAACCTCCCCTGAAGTTTTTGACAATAATAAAAACCTCCCTTCTAGTTTAATTTTAACAAAATCTCCCTTCTATTTTCATAAAAATCGACAAAAACCTCCCTTCAGTTAATGAACCTGACAGAAAACATTGAAAATTACATTTTTATCCTTATACCTCATCTAATCTATTTGCAAAATACTAATTTTACCCTTACTCAAAAAATTCATTACACTCTCTTGAGAAAACAGTCAAACCCTAACCCTAACTATTACAAGCAGACGGTGTTAGGAATATTCCACTTCCTAAAATATTCCCACGACGATTCTTCACCGGACGACGGCCGGTTTTATCTTGTTGGCCAATTTCTTCACCAGAGTTCGTTTTCTTCTATAGTTCATTTTCATCTTACAGGAATATTCTTCACCGGACTGTCACGGGGCTGATCAACGGGGCCCCGTGCGGCGCTCGATTGGGGTCGAGAAAGCCTACAAATGCAAGCAACAACACACAAAAGGAAACAAGAGTGCACACAAATTAGACAAAA